ATCAAACACAAGCATAGCAAGGCAAAAGCATGGCAAATGTGACAAGTTTTTTGAGAAGCAGGGAAATGTTTATATTGGTTATTTCATGTCTACTACTAATTATATGATTGTAGCCATTTCTGTATTACCTTTAGCAAAACTTTACTCGCTTGAGATATCAAAGAGATTGTCTGATGATTTCTGCATTCCATTGGGTCATCTCTCTTTGGAATGGGCACAACACTCTAGGGATGGGTCAACACTCGTGGAAGCAGTAGTCAAGAGATCAGATGACGTATTGCATTGGGCAAATCTGCTGCACACTTTTTAAAGTGTTGAAGAGCAGAGATGTAAGCTTGAGGACTAAGGTGCGCCTGACTCAAGCCATGGTATTTTCAATAGCCTCATATGGATGTGAAAGCTGGACAGTGAATAAGGAAGACCGTAGAAAAACTGATGCCTTTGAGTTGTGGTGTTGGAGAAGAATACTAAAAGTGCCATGGACTGCCAAAAGAACCAATGGTCTGTTTGGAAGAAGTGCGGCCAGAGTGCTCCTTGGAGGCCAGGATGGCTAAACTTCATCTCTCATACTTTGGACATATTGTCAGGAGGGAACAATCACTGGAGGATGTCATGCTGGGTAAGATGGAGGGTCAGAGGAAAAGAGGAAGACCCCCAATGAGATGGATCAGCCAGGTGGCATCATTGATGGCTTCAAGTGTGGCAGCGGTAGTGAGGTTGGCCCAGGATCGGACATTGTTTCGTTCTGCTGTGCATGGGGTTGCTATGAGTCGGTTCCAACTCGATGGCACCTGGCAACAACAACAACTAATTATATGTCTGTTTATAATATTTATATATGTTCTTATTTCTGCCTGAGTATGATCCAAAAAATAAACACTTAGAACTCTTACTAAATAAATTAATCTGGCTAAGTGATGAAGGTACTAAAATCAAGATAGGTTGAACTGATGAGCACAAATAATAAGATGGATTTTGTTGTTGTTAAGTGCCATCAAGTTAGTTCCGACTCAGAGCAACCCTATATAGGGTTTTCCGAGGAGTGATTGGTGAGTTTAAACTGCTCACCTTTTGGTTAGCAGTTCATTGCTTATTATATAGTGCCATAACAAGAACCCAATAAGACAGATGTTGTTAAGTGCCATCGAGTCGGTTCCAACCCATAGTGACCCTGTGTAGGGTTTACAAATGAGTGGCTGGTGAGCTTGAATCATTGACCTGTGGTTCAAAGAGACTTTGCAGTCCAGTACATTAACCCACAGCGTCACACCAGGACTCCAATAAGAATGTTGTTCTTAGGTCAAAATATGCTAATGACAAGCCAGTAGCTTAGGTACTATCAGCTATGTCAAACTTGATATATCATTAACGAATAGGGACAGCAAGTTTCAAAGACAAAGCTTCATAAATAAAGAATGACTTTAAAAAGTTTACCATAAAAATCCGACTCTAAGACTGAAACTCAAAGGGAACACATGAGCAGGCATGTCAGCTTGCTGGCGACCACACTGGTCTACTGGTGAGTGGAAGAGAGGGAAAGGCAGCAATGAAGAAATGGACTGAGTTCAACCACCTTCCATAGACTCCCACTGACCTACAGATGAGGGTGAAGAGGAAGGGTTGGTTGGTCCAAAGTGTCGTGAGACCTGGGGTCACCTGAGCCCACGGACAGGGACATAGCCACAGAGGGCTAGAGCTAAGAGTGAAACATCCAGCTAATATGAAGTGAAGGGAGATGCACAAGAACACCCAAACTTGCAGATAGAACCCATTTGACCTAGCCTCAATGGCTTGATAATCAGAACTCGACTAGAGGAAAATAAATAAGAAAAAATTTTTTGATAAAGGAAACAAATTGCTACAATTTGATGAACTTGACCTATATTCATTAAGGTTGTTGTTGTTGTTAGGTGCCATTGAGTTGGTACCAACTCACAGTGACTCTATGCACAACAGAACAAAACACTGCCCGGTCCTGAGCCAGCCTCAAAATTGTTGCACGCTTGAGCCCATTGATGCTGCCACTTGGCCAATTCATCTTGCTGGGGATCTTCCTCTTTTTCTCTGACCCTCCACCTTACCAAACATGATATCCTTCTCCAGTGACTGGTCCCTCCTGACAATATGTCTGAAGTATGAGAGACAAAGTTTGGCCATCCTAGCTTCCAAAGAGCACTCTGGCTGCACTTCTTCCAACACAGATTTGTTTGTTATTTTGGCAGCCCATGGCACTTTCAATATTCTCCTCCAACACTATAACTCAAATGCATGAATTCTTGTACGGTCTTCCTTATTCACTGTCCAGCTTTCGCATGCATATGAGGTTATTGAAAATACCATGGTTGGGGTCAGGCACACCTTAGTCCTCGACCTGACATCTTTGTTCTTCAACACTTTAAAAAGGTCTTGTGCAGCAGATTTGCCTAATGCAATACGTCGTTTGATTTCTTGACTGTTGCTTCTATGAGTGTTGATAGTTGATCCAAGAAGAATGAAATCTTTGACAACTTCCATCTTTTCTCCATTGATAAGAATGTTTATTGGCCCAATCCATACTGAAGGCTGTGTAATCTTAATCAGTAAGTCCAAGGGTGACCCTGCTGGTATTTAAAATACCCGTGGCATAGCTTCCAGAATCACAGTAACTCACAAGCCATCACAGTACAACAAACTGACAGATGAGTGGTGGATTCATGGAAATAGTAGCTCAAAATACCAATAGAGAGGGAAGGAGTCTTCACATCAATTATCAATGCTATCCCCTCGGTATACAGGGTAGATAGGGACAGGCAACTTAGACGTTGGCTACCTAAAATGAAGGGAAGATAAAGGCACGAAGTGACTGGCTTACAAGGTTTCAAGAAGGAGTTTAGTTTAAGAGTGTCGGGGGGAAGATAGAGTCCCCACGGAATAGTTTTCATCTTGTCTAGATGGGTCTGGTAAAAAGAGATGGGAGTAAGATTCTTATGATTCAATAATGAGTAATTGTTATCATGACTAATTGCGAGGGTCAAAATTATAAAGGTAGAGGTTTTATAACACAAACCGGGGAGTAGTTAATCTTACAGTCTGGAAACAAAGGACCCTAGGACCATCAAGGGAGAAAAGCACAAGTGGAATGCAGGACCCTTTCTAGAGAAGCATCTTTACCTGCAATGGAGGCAGAGTTGGGGACATGGAGAGAGGGAGCAGCTGAGGACTCTAGATTCATGGAAAGAGACTGAGAGGTAGCGGCCAGGAGACAGACTTGCAGAATGTGCCCTTTGGTGGTGTAAACTATTATAAATGCCTGAGTGTTTAAAAAAAAAAGGAAAAGCTAACATGAATACTATTAACTGATGGTACATGGAAGGGATTATAATCATTGTAATAAAACAAAGTATATGATTTGTTGAATGTAAAACTGATGATCTGCCCTGTAAAGTCACAATAAAAACTAAAAAAAGAAAAAAAAAGTTTACCATAAAAAATAAGTGAGCTCATTACTGTGGCTCAGGCTCGATCTACCTTAGTCTACATATTTAGACCATGTCCTGACCAAGATTCAACTGGTCAATTAGCCAAATTCTTTCTTTTTTCTTTTAGTTCTACTAAGAATCTGAAATCCTAGAAAGGGATCAGAGTCCTAAAAATGAAAGATTAGAAGAATATCAAATTAAGAATCATAGTATTTGGGTAAATTATTAAACAAATACAAGAATCACAATGAAATTATTTACACTGTATTCTTGATGTTATAAAATAGGCTTAAATAAATATAGTTATACATTTTATAATCACTGCTTATGTATGCTTTCTTTTGTTATATGTATAGATGCTTTCTTAACTGCTTATAGCATTTAAAAACTTAAGACTATCCACACTAAATCTGCACTTATTTAAATTATTTGGGATTAATGCTTAAATGCTCAAGAAAAATTGAATTTCTTAAATTTGTGGTTTTTCTGTAAGGATTTAATGAAATGAACATTAAACAAAGTTGTGAATATAGTTGTGAATATTCTTCATGTCCCAGCATCCCTCTGACAATTAATGAATCTATCAGTCATTATATTACAAATTCATACTTCAGAAGATAATGTCTACAATTATGGAATCCTAATAACTCCAGCTAGAAAAAAAGGAAGTGATTTCTAAAACACGTAAGACAAAGCTTGAGATCTCTATTTCTACCAAACATATTAATATTCTTGATACATGTTTAGTTTTAAAAACAAATGAATTGTAACTTAGCAGGCATCACATTTCCATATTAACCATCTGGGTAGATGCATTGTGATATACTATTCTGGTTACTGCATATACTCTTCTCCTTCCAATCGCAGGAGTTAAGATAAGTTGAAAAAAAAATTGCGAGAGAAAAAAAAATCTGAAGCACAAAATGCTGGCTCAAGAAAGAAAGGAAAACTCAAAAGCTCAGTACTTCACAAATCTACTATTTAACCAGATCTTTAGAGCTAACATGAATTGTGAAGATATCTCTTAAAGAAAGAAAGGCATCTGGTCACATTTAATCTGATGCATGAGAATAAATACAAAAACAATATCAGAAAAACCACATGATTTTGACAAAGCATCCCAAATTATGATGTCCACAGTACTTATCGTATCTCAGGTGAAAATGCAAATAAGAATGTAGAAAACACTCATCAGTAAGAGTGCAACCTTTCTGGCATCTGTTCCTCCAGGAAGAAAACAAGGAATCCAGGGAAGTATCCCAAAACAAAAAGAAACATCTGTGACAATACACACACTCCGCTTGCAAAAGTACGCAAAAAGTCAATCAATTCAACTCAAGTCCTGATATTTCAATGACTTTAAACTGATCATGCAAGTTCTAAAGTCATGAAGATACCCCTGAAATTGAAAATCTTACAGGGGAAGCTCGTGTTCAGAATGCATTCAATATAGCCAAGTGTACATTTGTGAATACCACACTTGATCCTGAAGGTGCTTGTTGAGTTGGAGAGGTTGAAATCTGACCATCAAGTTTTTCACGATTATGGTTTTTTTCCTAGCTCTTCATCCCAGTCAAAATCAAATGCATCATCATCTAGTTCTGGTAAAGTAAAGAGAGACTTTCTGGAAGTTATCTGTTTGTCAGTGAATCTCTCTAACTGAAAAGTTTTCCTTTTACTGCCAAGCATTGTGGCTGCAGTTGTAGGAGGGCTTGGGTTTCTCTTAATGCTGTTCTTACTTTCAGGTGGAAGAGGGGGTTGTGATTTGGATTCAGAGGGGGAAGTGAAGGAAAAGTTTGCCAATTTGGCTAATGTGCAAGCATGGACCCTACTGCTTTTGTTTTTGTGTGAATCCTCTTCCTTCTTCTCTCTCTCACAAGTTGGATGAGAATGCCCAGTCTGGTTCCCAAGTTCAGGTGGAATAACTCTCTTTTTAGGGGCACATTCTCTCTTCTCTCTTGATCCATCTTTCTTTGCTGGCTGCTGTGACACCTCCTTTGTTAAACTCTGCAACTGACCCAAGCTTCTGTTTCCTAGGGCAGAGCTCAACTTTTCTGGATCCTTCACAGACAGAGCTGCTTCTCTTCTTGCCTTAGGATGGTGCACTTTAGGACTCTGAACTGCTATTTGAGTGGTACTCGGAGACCCATGGCTGTGGTCCCCAGGGGAGTGCATCAGCTTTGACTTCTGTTTGAAAGTAAATTTTGCCAGTTTGGCCACAGGGGGACCTGAACTCTCAACACCTTCAAGTTTGGGTTCTTTCACTTGATCAAGGGATTTCTGTCTCTTTCTTTTGGGAGTCTCCAGTGTCCTTTCTTGGCTCTGGCCGGGAGTGGACAGACGATGAGATGGGCTTGAGGGCTGCGACAGCTGCCCGGCAGGATTTCTGCATTGCTCCTGGGCCCTCTCCTTACACAGCTGGTGTCGTTTCTCAAGGACATGAAGAGTTAGTACTGAGTCTGGCTCTTCAGCAGGTACTGACACTTCAGAAACCATTGCTGATATTTTGGGACTTTCAACTTTATCATGGAAAGTTTTGTGTGGCCTCAATGGTGTCCCTGTCTCTCCTGGTGCTGGAAGTTGTCCAGCTTCTGATTTGCTCCTTCTGCTGGGCCCACTCTTTTCCTTACTCTGAGATTTCCTGTGGGAGATTTTCAAAGCCATTTTTTCCTCAATTGTTTTGGGACTGGAAGGCATATGAACAGTGTTCTTAAGCTCAATCTCAGGAACTGCCATGGAGTCAAACCAGTCTAAACTGTTATCCCTGCTGCTTGGGGGCTCAGCTGAATGGTTTCTACTTATTGACCTAGTAGGCCCTGGAGAAGACGGGGGATCTAGAAGTGGGATTCCTCCAGGACTGCCTCCAGTAGAGGGGGTATGCATTTCACAACCGGTTTCCTGCTGTGTAGAAGTTGTCAACTTGGATTCCTCTCCTTGGTAGGCTCTCAAGGCCCCTGCAGACGTCTCTGCCTCCACTGGCCACAGCTGGGATTGGGGCACACTCTGGTTCTGTAACCTGGAGAGGAGATAGAGTACAACATGGACTGAGAGCAAGGCTTTACCCTTCTCATTTCTTAGTAGTGTCTGAGATGGTGTCTAACTTAAGTCTCATGTAATTCCAGGTTAATACCAACTATAAATAGAGACTCTTAGAGCAGCAGTAGCAAAGTATCCATTTTCTTAAATGTTCTGATAAGAATTCTAATTTAACCAATTACAGTCATAAAGTGAAAAAAATGAAATACATTTCTGTCTACATTTGTAGATGCCCTGAAAGTCCACTGAATTGTTTTAAGACTGTTGGCAGGTCAGTGTACAGTGATGTGTCAAATTCCCCAGACAAACTTGTAGCTATTTGCACCACAGCTCATTGCTGACCAAGAAAGTTGTTCTAGCTGTTTGGTAGTCAGTTTGCAGAACCAAAGTGGAAGGCCTGAGATTATGGTCCATCACATCTCTTTACCTAATTCAAGTAATAAATTTTAGCACATCTAAAACGTCACCTTACTCATGAGCAAAGAACTTATAATTCCTCCAGACTGGTGCTCCCTCTGTCCCCTACAGCATACACAAATGTCCCCAAGCAATTGTGACACATATTTCTGCTAAGTCCAGCCATTTTTTGACATATGTTCCAGGTAGTCATTCTCCACCAACTTGATAGAATTAAAGCCTATTTACTTTCCCTGAATGATATTCCTGGTTAGTGATTTTAAAAAACACCCCATTGCCATCAAGTTGATGGTGACCCTGCATAGGGTTTCTGAGACTGTAATTCTTTCCAGCAGCAGTCAGCCTCATCTTTCTCCCACAGAGTGACTGGTGGGTTTGAACCTCTGGTACTGTGGTTAGCAGACCACACCTAACCCACTGTGCCACCAGGTCAGTGACACTCTACTGTAATATCAGCAATGATGGGAAAAGATAAACCGAAATGCCAAAAGCACCAATTTCTAATAAAGTAAGTCTTTAGAAAGCCTTTTCTAACAGCCTGGAAGAATGCCTTTTTATTATAAGGAATAAGCTGGCCTTGCTTTCATCTTACTTCTATCATACATATATGAGAAGAAATTAACCAAAAAGAACAGTGAATTATTCTAAAAGTCATGTGTAAACACAGAAAAAGCAATAGAAAAAAAATATAACAAATTTGAACATTTTAAACTGAAATATATTCAAACACATTAAAATACTAATGATCTATATTTCTGGATAATACGATTATAAGTGATTTTTATTTTCTTATGAATTTGTTATCTCTGGTAGTGTAGTGGTTACGAATCGGGCTGCGAACCTTAAGGTCAGCAGTTCGAAACTACCAGCCGCTCCGCGGGAGAAAGATGAGGCTTTCTACTCCTGTAAGGATTTACACCCTTGGAAACCCTGTACAGGGTCGCTATGGGTCGGAACCGACTCGACGGCACTTAACAAAAACAACAACAACTTTCCAAAATACTCTATCCCATTAACCCACTGCGATTCAGTCAGTTTCAACTCATAGTGAGGTTGTAAATCTTCATGGGAGCAGAAAGCCTCATCTTGCTCCCAAGAAGCAACTGGTGGGTTTGAAACTGCATACCTTGTGATTAGAAGTCCAGTGCTTATCCTATAGTGCCACCAGAACATGCACTGCCATTGTAATAAGAAAACATTAAAAAATTATAAAAATATTGGGTAATAAACATTTCCATAGATTTGATAAGTATAACAAATCTGTGTTCACTATTATTAATATGAGCAAAAACCAAACCAAAACTCAAGTATATTTCAAAATATAGTTTTGCATCTAATTGCAGTCAGGGATACTCATAATCATTTAGATTCTTATAACAATGTCCCAGAATTTAAAGTAGTAGAATAATTTAACGGCACGCCACAGCCACATTTTTGTCTGATTCTTATTTCGAGAAATAAATTCTCTCCTACATAGAATTTCTGCAGATTTACTGCAGCCTTCTAAAAGATAGCATCCTCACAAGCTGTTTTAACCTCAAGATAGGTTAATGATCATGATTGGAGGTACACTGCCATTAGGAAAGCCTTTTTTGGAAGAAAAGTATGATAACACAAGTGATTTATTGTAATTATGTGATCCCCCTTAAGGGATACAGAACGTTTTCCTCAGGGGAAAAAGCCCTTATGCTACTTGGGTTTTCTCACTGGGTAGGGTTAGCTTCAGACTGGTCTTAGAAGTAACTCACTGTCATTTACATCATACCTGGTTTTGTTGTTGGGGGATCAGCACATGCATTAGGAGGAAAGATCAGTATAGAAGAATGCTTTAAGATAGGCTCCTATCTCTCAGATACCCACCTACTCTCTTTTTTTCTTCTCTCTTTCGGCGCAGGAGAGTCACTTTGAATTTGGGAAGTCCAGTTGCCATTTTTCTATTACAACACTCGTTCCGAGCCTCCCTATCCCTCCTTTTTGAATCCAGCCTTTATATCACCCTTTGATAATAGGTCAGTCAAAATGAGCAGATTCTCCAAAGGCAAAGTCAAACTCAGGGAGCAGCATGGAGGTTTCACCTAAATGCAGGTGCATGAGTGACACCAGCTGACAGGAGGCGAGTAAAGCCAGGCTGTGCCCACTGAACCTTGCCTAACTTTCGGATTCCCAGAGCACAAACATTGTTGTTGCTGTTTTTTATTTTATAAAGCCACTGAGTTTTGGGATGGATGATTATATAAGGAGGTTTCAAAAAGTTCACAGAAAAGTGCAATTAAAAGATAATGGAAGTTTTCCATAAACTTTTTGAAGCTCCCTGGTATAGCGATAAATAACGAAACAATTCCCTATGGATAGGACAGACAGAGTTTCCACTTGATTTGCACTTCTTTCATTTCCCAAAATAAGAAACAAGGATTTCCCACCCTAGGCCTTTCTTTGTTTTCCTTCCTTACCTTTCAAGTCTTCTTAGCTCTTCACTCAAGAGGCTCTGCAGCCCTAACTTCTCCAGAATCAGTTCACATTGCCTCTGGTACTGCTCCAAAGGGTTCTCAGGAAAGGAAGTATGGAGCGCATTCACACCTCCTAGCAGTGCACCTCCCTGAGGAGTGAGAAAAGGAAACACATCAGGAAGGTCACCAGGTCAGCCTGCAGAGAGGCAAGTCCTCCCTACAACCCATCTCGGGAATCACCTGGGAGGCTTTTTCAAATTTAATAGTCCTGTACCCATTTCTTGGTGGCAGTCATTGTTGGACAAGGACACAATGTCACTAGACTAGTGGAAGCATGGGCATCCCTCAGGTATGCTGAGGAGAGAAAAGTTTGAGAACCACTACTTTAGACCAATGGGCACAAGCATCGCCACTGATGGAGTGAAAGTCTCCATGGCAGCCTTTCCCCCTTCTTTTAAATGTGATACCCAAAAAGTTTGTGGAAAAATCTCATCTTTTGATTTCATTTTCCCATGAACTTTCTGACGCCCCTTGTATTTCCAGGAATTATTAAGTCTAGAATATGATCATGTTTATAACTATATATTAATAAATTAACTTATTTGCCTGGGACAAGAAAGGAAAAAGGAGCATCAGGAATAGGAGGAGGATATGGAATGTGTGTTTAACTGCCTCCATGAACAACTGCTTCCTTTGCTATGAGAGAGACCAGGAGAATAGGATGGTGTCTGACACCATTATTGAACATTTTGATCAAAGATTCTGCAGAAAAATCCTGATCAACAGGGGGAAATGCCGAACAGATTTTCAAATTCTTACAAAGTCAAGGTTTTCTAGAACATGGAGGGTAGATAAATGCTTGAAAACATTGCCTTGAAATAATCTTTAAACCTTAAATAAAAAATATTTCCCAAAGTCTTTTTAAAACCAAACAATAGTATAGCTTAACTAGTAATGTCTGTCTTGAGCATTAGATGCTTTCCAGAAATATCTATAGGATCCCAAAAGTGTACAAATAGAACCTACAGATTGGGACAAAATACATGGCAGCAACATATTTGACAGGAAACTAATCCCTAAAATTCATAGAAAACTTTAAACACCTCAACATCAAAAAAATTCACAACCCAACTTAAATACTGGCAATATTTAGCTATTGTTGCTATTGTTGTTATTAAGCACCATAGAGTAAGTTCCAACCCATAGCGACGCTGAGTAGGGTTTCCAAGGAGTGGCTGGTGGGTTTGAACCGCCAACCTGGCGGTTCAAACTGACTTTGCAGCCAGTGCACCATCCTGAAGTGCCATACCAGGAGTCCAATTTAGCTATTGTTATTGTTGTTGCTGTTGTGTGCCGTTGAGTCATTTCTGACTCATAGTGACCCTGTATAGGGTTTCCAAGGAGCATCTGGTGAGCTAGAACCACCGACCTTGTAGTTCAAAGTGACTTTACAGTACAGTGCATTAACCCACAATGCCACACCAGGAATGGAATTTAGCCATTAGAGTCCTAGTGTGGCACTATGGGCTAATGGTAACTCCAATTTAACCATTTCTTTTGTTGTTAAGTGTCATTGAGTCATTTCCAACCCATAGTGACCCTGTATAGGGTTTCCTAAAAGCAGCTTGTGAGCTTGAACCTCCGACCTTGCAGTTCAAACAGCTTTGCAGTCTGGCACATTAACCCACAGCACCACAACAGGACTCCAGTAGAGAGATGCAAATCAAAACAACAATGAGATACCATCTCACACCAGCATTAAGAGCAAAGTTAAAAACAACAACAGCAAAAACAGAAAACAACAAATGTTGGTGAGGGTGTGGAGAGACTGGCAAGCTCCTCCTTGCTGGTGGAACTGGAAAGTGATTCAACCATTCTGGAAACAGTATGGTGGGTTCTCAGAAAGTTGGAAACAGAAATCCCTTATGACCCACAAGAAATATGAGCCAGGACAGGAGTAGATATATTCACACCAATGTTCATTGTAGCACTATTCACAATAGCAAAAAGATGGCGACAGCCTAAATACCCATCAACGGAAGAATGGATAAACGAATTTGGTACATACACACAATGGAATACTATGCAACACTGAAGAATAATGATGACTACAAAATACCTCATAATATGGATGAACCTGGAGGATATTATGCTGAGTGAAATTAGTCAATCACAAAAGGATAAATATTATATGAGACCATTATTGTAAAAGCGTAAGAAAAGGTTTCCATACTAAAAGAAACATCCCTTGATGGTTACCAACAGTGGGGGCGTGGTGGTGGTGGTGGTTATGTGCTGTGGAGTCAGTTCAGACTCATAGTGACGCTGTACAGGGTTTCCAAGGCTATAAATCTTTATAGGAGCAGAAAGCCTCATCTTTCTCCTGCAAAACGGTTGGTAGTTTTGAACTGCTGACCTTGGGGAGGAGAGTAATTCACTGGCTAGAGGTAGACACATGTTAACTCAGGTGATGGAGAGGGCAATATATAAGAGAGAAGGCGGCAGAAGAATAATGAACATAAATGAAGACACAGAAAAGTATGCATGGGCTAAAGGGCAGAGAGGTAAATAGTGATGTAAACACAACCTTGGAACAAAAGAGTTCTATGCACAGATACATGGATTGAGACAAAGACTGAATGTATAAGGGAGGAAGAATGAGATATAAATATCTATTTATATATCCCACAAACATATAAGAGTTTGAAAGAGGGTATTTGTACCTGAGTATTTACCTTTCATGTAAGCACAATGATGAATGTGGAGCAGTACAGTGGACAAAATGATGAAAACTTCCTAGATATTATCAAACATCTTAAGGCAAGGAATTGACGGTCCTGGGGGCTCAGGACCAAAGTCTCAGGGGACACCATGGTCAACTGGCATAACATAGTCCACAAAGACAATGTTCTATATCCTGCTTGGCAGCTCTTGGTGTCTCCATGTGTGGAAGAAAGAAGAAGCTTGGAATCCAATGGACTAATGGAGGAAACAAGTGCACATCAGTCTCCAGGGAAGGACTAGACAGTACCCAGCTACGACTACCAACTTTCCTGAAAAGGATCACATTATATATACCCAGATAGAGTGTGAGAAAATGTGGACCAAAACTCTAAATTATTTTGATTTTTTTAAAAAAGAGAAGAATCTGGGTTTACTGGTCAGAAAGAGATTGGTGGAACCTGTGTTTATGGCCTTCAACCACCCTCTAGGCCTGGAAAGGAACTCACCCATATAGCCCAATTTCCAGCCAAGCAGCAGATAGGTTTATAGTGCGGGAGAACAACACTAGCAAGGTAGGCTCACTGTGGAATGGCTGATGATTCAAAATCAAAAGGGTAACATTTTCCTAAGGACAAAGCTGAGAAAGGATGGGAAGGTGGGTGGAATACAAATATCACAGGGAGGAAACAGGATAACCATTGTTGCATACAGGGGATTTTAATTATTGAGATGAAACAATGTGTATGATTTGTTGAATGTACAGCTGATACACCTGTCTGCAAGTCTCCACTCAATTCATAATATAAAATTAAAAAAAAAAATCTATGGTATAGTACAATGCTGTCTGTGACAGGATAGTATCAATATGCCTACAAGGAAGAATCATTAATACAAGTATTATTCAAATTTATGCACCATTTAATTAATCATTAAAGTTAATGATGAAGAAACTGAAGAAATCTATCAATTCCTTCAGGCTGAAATTAATTTTAAAAAATGAAATCAAAACATATTGATAGTGAAACGATGATAGAATGAATGTAAAACTAATGTTCTCCCATGTAAACTATCACACAATTCACAATAAAGCATTTATTAAAAAAAAAAGATGTACTGACAGTTAATGATGAGTAATTCTTTTTAGACTGTGGAATAGACTATTAATTGCTCATATACACGTTCACGTAGAAGTTGAAGAAAGTTAAACAAGTACATAAAGCTAAAATGTGACCGTGACTATATCCCACCAGAATTTAGAGGTCATCTCAAAAACAGATTTGATGCATTAGATACTAATGAACAAAGACCAGAGAAATCAAGAAGACCATACAGGAAGAGAGTGACAAGTCATTAAAAGATACGAAAGAAAGAAAATACCAAAATGTACTTCAGAAGACACTCTGAAGTTTGCTCTTAAATGTAGAGAAGCTAAGGCAATTGAAAGAAATGATGAAGTAAAAGAGTTGAACAGAAAATTTCATATGACAGCTAGAGAAGACAAAGTATTATAAAGAAATGTGGAAAGACCTGGAGTTAGAAAGCAAAAAGGGAGTAACATGCTTAGCGCTTCTCAAGCAGAAAGGAATGAAGGAAAAATTTTAGCTTCAAGTTACAATATTGAAGAATTTTACACAAGATACTGAACAATGCTGGAAGTATCAAAATACGATAAAATGCATACACAGACTCAGTACCAAAATGAATTGGTCGGTGCTTTTCAGCCAATTGAAGAGATAGCATTCAACCAAGAATAAATGGTATTAAAGGAAGAAATCCAAGCTGCACTGAAGGCACTATTGAAAAATAACTCTCTAGGAGTTGATGTAATACCAACCGAAATGTTTCAATAAACTGACGCAACGTTGGAGGCACTCCCTCATCTATGGCAAGATATTTGGAAGATGGCTACCTAAATAATTGGAAGAAATTCATATATGTGCCCATTCCAAAGAAAGGTGACCATTCCAAAGAAGAATGTGGACATTATTCAACAACACCATTAATATCATATGTAAATAAAATTTTGCTTAAGATAACTGAAAAACGGTTGCAACAGTACATTGCAAGGCAGCTGCCAGAAATTCAAACCTGATTCAGAAGAGGATGGGCACAAGGGATATCACTGTTGATGTCAGATGGGTCTAGGATGAAAGTGGAGAATACCAGAAAGATCTTTACTTGTGTTTTATTGACTATGCAAAGGCATTCAACTGAGTGTATCATAATAAACAACAGATAACATTGAACAGAATGGGAATTCTAGAACACTTAAGTGTGCTTATACAGAGCCTGTACATAGACCAAGAGGCAGTCATTTGCATAGAAAAAGGGGATACTGAATGGTTTAAAATCAGGAAAGGTATGCATCAGGGTTGTGTCTTTCACCATACTTATTCAATCCATATGCTGAGCAAATAAACCAAGA